AAAATTAAACCTTATTTTCAATAAGCAATCCTGAAAAATATTTGGGGGTGCTTAACTTTTTTCCAGGTGTATATATACGTAGTTATTTACAGCTCACGTGTAACTGTGTATATTTGGAATATAGCAGGTGTTGTTTCAGTATTTGTTAACGTTTCTTAAAATATAATTATTGTCGTCACGTTTGCCGTAATTTTGTACAGTAAACATATGTTTTTATAAAACTGGAATAACTTCAAAATTGTGCTCTAAAGAGAGAGAAAAACGGGAATATATTGTTTCTAAAATTGTGTCTTACAGTACACGTGTTGTTACAGAACGTAAAGTTTTTATAGTTGTTATTTTCAGAACCAGACTCCATATTGCATTTAGCTGTTCCACAGAATCGAGATCCAGTTTATTATTGAAGTGTTTTTACACTACCAAAATCCATAATGCTTTTAAAGTGTTGTTAATATAAATGAGGTCCTTACTTTCTTTTCATAGTTATTGAGATATGGGAGATCTTATTCCATAAAACATTTTTTTATTTCCAATATACTTGTTTTAGCGAAAAGCTATGCTACGAGATATTTAGGCTTTCTCCATCGTGGGAAATATAACCTCGAATTTTAGCGATGTAAGACGATATTTTTACTATTGACATATCGGAGGGTCTCAAACTTAGTTTAAGACAATGTATGTTAAATGTTAAAATGATGTCATCGACTGAAGAAATACGGACACACTAAAATATATCTTTACGACTTTGAATTTAAATAAATGTAAAAACTATTTTTTTTAAATTTGAGTCACGTTTAATGAAAATATGTTTGTTTGGGATTTCGCACAAAGCTACACAAGGGCTATCTAATTTAGCAGTGTAAGACTAGAGGGAAGGCAGCTAGTCATGATCACCCACCGCCAACTCTTTTACCAACGAATAGTGGGATTGAACGTCACATTATAACGCCCCCACGGCTGAAAGGGCGAGCATGTTTGGTGTGACATGGATTCGAACCCGCGACCAGCAGATTGCGAATCGAGCGCCCTAACCACCTGGCCATGAAAATATGTATTATATTCTTAACTCGAAGCAGTAGCAACACAGGCATTTTACCTCAGACTGTTCTATATGCAATTGTATTGCATATTAGAAAGATTTCCACCGACTCGCAATGGAAAAAAGTTTATTAAACACACGCTTGCAAGAATCCGGTGGAAATAAACAGTAGTCTAAGCATTAACTTTCCTTCATCTACCAATTAGTTGATGTATCCTTTACTGGCACTTTATTTGTTAGCAGCTTACCATAGTGGCATTACTACAGGTGTAAGTAACCCATTACGCAAACCTTACAAGCAAGTTAAATATACTGTTCATGGTTTGGAAGAAAGTTTGTTCAGAAATATATTGGTTTCAATTTCTCAAAGGGTTCCGAAATATTTTACTAATATATTGAAAGTTCAATTTCGATAATATATTTTATTCGGTTTGTATGGGTCGTTTAATACAAACTTCTTTCCCCCCCCCCCCCCACACACTCATCAGACATCCCAAAAAAAGGATAATTGAATACATTTCTTGATAGGGTAACACTTCACTAGATATTACAGTTTTATACAGTAAAAACTAGAAAGATTTTCACTTTTGCGGGAACCAAATACAAATATACACCAAAAAACCTCCTCACACTCAAAAATGCAGGTTTCTGGACCAAAATCCTTCTTCTATCTATATTTGTTGTTGAGTTTGATCGTTTCCGAAAATTCCAGTTTCTTACCTTTAGAAAGAAAGTCCTTGATCTTCAATGTAATGTTCACTTTTCACCGACGTTCATCAAAATTAATTAATTGGGTTTTGTTCGAATTTCGCTCAAAGCTACGCGAAGGCCATCTGCGCTAACGGTCCCCAATTTTGCTGCTATCCATTGTTAAGTATGATATGACAAGTACAAAGACCAAATCATAAACGTCTGTCAACAACTTACATTTATGTATTATATTCCAAATAAAAAAAAAAAAACTAATATTATTATATTGTAATTGTTAATATTAATTATTATGATATGGTAATTATACATTGTTTTATTTGAATTCAACAACACGTTGTATCGTATCTTTGGGCCCGTTTATTTCACCATATAGTAACCTAAATTAATTTAGGTATGTGAATAATGTTATAACATTTCGTCGAATCCATTATTCTATGTTCTACAGCGAACCGACTGTTTAATAACTGTATGTATATGTTAAAGATTTCTTTTTACCAGAAGTGAAATTGAAAGGAGAATGTGTGAGGTAGAGGCAAACCACAGAAATACCATTAGGCCTCTTATAATGGTGAAGTGTATATAATATCCAAAGGGTTTTGAATCCGTTTCATTTTACCATACTTTTTTCGTTTACTAACCCTAGCTGTGCTGAATAGGCGAAACTGCAGGCCACAGCAGAGAGTACAACCAATCAAAGATTACATAGGCCTATACGTCACAGATTCTCTTTTGAATTTCACTTCTGGTGAAATAGAAAATAAATCTTTATCATTTAAATATATATAAACACAAAACAAATGTTGTATCAGTTTTAAATGACGATGTTTTTATCATGTCTTTGGTATTTTTATATTGTGAAAACTATATTTTAAAATAAAATTGTTAAAAACAGTAAAGATAGATACGCTCACTTTCTAAATTCAGAACCAGGGAAGCAAATAAGTTCAAATATTTGACTTTTAGTTGTTTTTGTTAATTTACTTTATCAAATAATATTCGTACTAACTTATTAATTTTCAACGCTAACTTGGCTTATAATGTTACTATACCTCAGTTTAATTAACACATCCTGCCACATTAGCGCCTACTAGCGGCACAGTAAAATGGATATTACACAAACATATCAACCATACAAACTAATCGCAAAAAAAAAAAAAAAAAAGCTCGTGTAGTAAGAAATAAAGAAAAAAGACCGCAGTAATTGAAGAACTAATTTATTTCCAAACTCTGTAAACACGGAGAAACTAAAACCCGCTACTTTGGGTTTCAAGAATTTCCTTCTTTGTATAGTTAATTAACATACACAGTCACGTCAAAATACACAAACATATTCTTGAGTTGAAAATAGTCTATTTGTGAATTAAAATTCTCGCTCACTTTCCATAACCAATAATATAACAAATGTGTCGTTCTTCGTTAGGTTAATGGCTAACAAGAAGAATAAAGTATCTATAAATTGTACAACAAATGATATTTAAAATATAATATTTGAATATTTACAGTAACGAATAGAAGACAATAAACACAAATTAATCTTAATATTTTCTAATTCTTAGCTTTTAATTAAAATTCAATTACTAAAATCCTTTAAATCGACTGAAAACAGTAACAAACAATTACACTTTCTTTGTAAATCATAAATGATTTTTTTTTTACACAACATATATTACGCACAATAAATTTCATATCTGAATAAAACTTTATTTTATTGGTTTGTTTTGAATTTCGCGCAAAGCTACACGAGGGCTATCTGCGTAGCCGTCCCTAATTTAGAAGTGACAGACTAGAGGGAAGGCAGCTAGTCAACACCAACCACCGCTAACTCTTTTACCAACGAATAATGGGACTGACAGTTACATTTATAACGCCGTCACGGCTGAGAAGGCGGGCAGGTTCGGTGACGCTTTATTTTATAAACCAGATATGATTTCCCTTGAAATTAAAAACCTGTACTTGATTTTAAAAGGGTGTGTGTTGATTTTCTCGTATTTTTCTTATGGTAGAGCAACATACGACTAACCGACACTTTTCCTTCGAATAAAACCTCAAGTAGTAAAATGTTTAACCAAGAAAAAAGTTTTATTCAGGTTATTACACCACCAACATACTCGTACACAGTGAAATAAAGCTTTCTCTCGGTTAGTTGTATTCTACTGCACATAGAAAAAATATCTCACTATCGATGCTTTGTAAACTTTTTTTGATCAACAGATTTTATCGGGCACCTTCGAATAAAATGTTTTAAATGGCATTTTGAGACCAACTATAGCAAATATCCCCCTTCCCCCAAAAAACTGCTTTACGTGAAAAATACATTCACTCTAGCTACCAACTAAAAATATTTGAAAAAAATATTCCGACCGATCTTGTATGCCAAAGTCTGCTTTTCAGAAATGGGTGTATTTTGAAATGAAAGTTATAATGACAAAACCAACTATGAAACTACATATTCTGATCATGCGCGTTGAAAACTACTGTATCGCAACTGTTCCCCAAAACAGCTAAGTGCACTTTCTTGTTTATAAATACATACATATATATATATCCCCATTAGGTAAATACAAGTTTTGTGTAAACATCAAAATTAATAGAGGCAGTTCTAATATTTTGTTAGTGAGGAGGGTCTTCCACCAGGTCGCAAAAATTTTAAAAAACAAATTAGGTTACAGTGTCACCTAAAGTTTTGCAAAGACGTATATGTCAGCTTGGTCAGGTTTGTTTATTTTTGAATTTCGCGCAAAGCTACACGAGAGCTATATGCGCTAGCCGTCCCTAATTTAGCAGTGTAAGCCTAGACGGAAGGCAGCTAGTCATCACCACCCACCATAAACTCTTGGACTACTCTTTTACCAACGAATAGTGGGATTGATCGTCACATTATAAGCCCCTACGGCTGAAAGTGCGAGCATGTTTGGAGTGACGGGGATTCGAACCCTCGACCCGCAGATTGCAAGTCGAGCGCCTTAACCAGGTCATGCCGGGCCGTCTTGGTCAGGTACACAACTGTTAATCCAAACTGTTTGTTTAGTAGTCGAAAAAGGTTGAAACGCAGTCCGACACCGCGATACAATTTCTTAACCTGATGATGACCTAAGCAGGCAGTTGTTTTTGTTTTAATACCCATATCAGCCGTCTCTAATATATAATTAGCAGCTATTTTAACGTGGACGAAGCATTAACTGGCGCATGCCAATAAATAAATCACTACTTGTTACGTTTCGCCACGTTAACGACGGCAGCATTAGGCCTAATAGTGATGAATAATAAATTTGTTTACGTTCTCGAATTCAGCCGAAAAAACCACGTTTTAATATTTTACGTGGTATACCGATATTCAACACAATTTAGCATTTTGTTACGTCTTATTGTGTAATTGTGTTTTAAATTGTGAAGTTTGCAAGTTCCGTCATATTCGGTGGTTTATACTAGGGAATAACCCCAATGACAGTTTACTGTTAATATATGTAGCGCCTTCCAAACACAGCGACCGGTTTGAATTTAAGATACGTAAAACTAATTAGGCATACCTAATTGGAAAATGTTATTTCTTCTAGCGAGGAAGGTTTCTTGGCATTGTAAAAGTACGCATGTTTTAAATATCAAAACTTATCATTTGACCAACTGTATTATTAAATTAATAAATTATGTAATTTTTCTGGACTATTTGCTTCACACAGGAAACCTATACTGTTTCCGCGCGTTAGAAGTCTTGTCAGATAGGCTCTTTGATTATGTATTCTGTTTACGTCAGTCTCATGAAATGTTTTATGGATATGAGTAACTCGGTTGAGGTTCGCTGTTATGATGTTAAAACCTGACGAAAATCCACGTCTGGGTATCGAAGTGTTGACTCTAGGTCAAGTTCTCTGGCCAAGGCTATATTCAAATACTATATCCTACGTGTTATTTCAAGCAGTATTGATTTAAAACTGGCATAAACTAAAGATCCTTCAGAAAACAAAAATAATAAAATTTGTCTTGTTACTATTATGAACCTTAATAACACACACACACAAAACATTTTACAGTTCCCAAAGACTGGCTTTTCATCGCGTGTTACACTGATGTGGGGCATCGAGACATCACCAACTGTTTAATGCTTAAGGGTCAGAACCAATAGTTTGGGGTGCTTAAGCCAAGGGCATCACCAATTGTTTAATATTTAAGTTAGTACCAGTACGTTTAACTTACAAACAACGCTTGACAGACTTTTCCTGTAAAATATAAACAAATGTAACTTTACCGTTTTTCACATTCAAAACATCAAGATCAAATTTTATAATGAATGGGAAGTTAATCAAATAATGAACCACTCCATAAAGAGCATGATTAAACAGAATATCAGGATTTAGAAAAACAGAGTATAGCACATAATTGATACAGTTTTCAACATAACCAGTGATATGGCAGTATACTGTGATCACAAACCAGCAAGAATAAGAATTATCTTAACTGTTTTCTTTTCATCTGAAGCTCTCAAAATTTTTACCTCAGGAAGACACTTCTGCATTTTGTTTAAACTTTATACTCTAAATAACTAACCTCCTACACAAGTGATCAAATACTGTTTCTAATGAACAACAATCACAACTACAAGAAACAAATTTCTAAATAATAAATTCACAGTTTAGTAGTACGAGTGACATTTATGTATTTAATCAACTTGAATGGAATTCGAGAGATTTAAAATACTGGGAACTGAAGACAGAATTAAATCACTAACTCTCTAATTTGTAGTTCATTCTTGAGAGGAACTAACAACACACACAACTGTAATAGTGGTTACAATACCACTACTTTTAACAGTTTGGCTCTTCTGGGATAAGACTTTACAACCAAGTAGATTTGATGTTAAAGGAGCTTGTAAGAATTTGAACTTGTGACTGTCCACACTTAATGGAAACAGATTTAGGACTGCTAGATGAGATCAGATACCCTATTGTCTCAAGATTTTCTGAAAGTTAACAATATGTCTTTAGACAAACAATGAAAAAACACTTTGATAAAATCTTTACTACTAATAAAATCTGATTATACAGCCACAATCCAAAGTCTTGTAACTACATTGTTGTATTGCTAAGTTCCTACAATTTTCCACACACACATACTTACATATAAAGTAGAATACTTTTTCTTTAATTTATTTACAATTGTGAGCAAAACTCAGCACTAACAAGGTTCACCCCCTTACCGGTGAGATATACATACAGCTACAGTAAAGTGAAAACTCCTAATGTAGACTTCTATTTAAAGTTGTTGTTTTCTTCATGCAAAGCTACACACTGAACAATCAGCACATTGTTCACTGCAGGGAATCAAACCCCAGATTTTAGCATGGTAAGTCCATAAACTTACTGCTCACCCAGTGGGGGAGGACTATTTCAAGTTAACACATAAACAAAAATCAAAGTCTAAAAAAACACAAGTAGAAGGAATTTCTTTTTTGAAATCAGTAAATAACAGTTTAACTGTAATTAAAAAAAAGAACGCATTTAAAAGTTATTTTGATACTCGATAGTTTGTAAATAGTTCTAAAAGGATTTTATTATGAGTAAAATGATAATATGTCTAAAATGAAGTTAAGGTGTGACAGTCATGCTGTTTTTTGATTGATAAGCAGAGTAATTTTCAAGGAAAAACCACTGCTTTTCTAAGGTTACACAAGCATTAAATTTACACTTTGAATTCCACCTGGCTACGATTTACTTGAGACACGAAAGTTCTTTTGTTCTATCTTGTTAGTTGTGTGAATACTTTAGAAGTATTTTTAATAACAGCAAGAGTCACTTTTAAAAAACTACTGGTCGTACTACATTTAAAACTCTCACAAAACTAAATGAAAACAAACAAAAAATTATAAGAAAACTTCCTGATTTTGCACTGGTTGTCCAATTAGAAGTGTAAAGGAACTGTCATTAAGGCTTCCTCAGTGGATCGACTTTTACAGCAATTCTACATTCAAAAAAGAAAGAAAGAAAACGAGACAAAG